GCTGGTGTCTTTTCCCGCTTTCCCCTGGCTTTTCCCCTTTTCCGCACTGCTTTCCACTTTCGCTGGTGGTGGCGGTGGCAGTCAGTCAAGCGCAATGCCAAAAACTGAAGTACCAATTCAAGAGAGCTCCGCCATAAATCGCTTATCACGCGACATTAAAACAACAACGGCAGCAAAAACAACATGACAACAATGTTGCTGAGTGACTTTGGTCGTTGTTTGGTTGCTTACTGCCCGCAGCAAATGCCAAAAATTGCCGCAAACAAAAACAATACAGCGCAAAAATCCAAAAAAAAACAGAAAGAATGAAATTGTAACGGCCACAGAGAGTTTTAATGTACTGCCAGTTGGATGTTGGGGTTGTTGGGAAAGCGACCAAAGCGGGAAAACCTTGAAAAATGGCAACCGCAGATTAAGCGCATAAAAATGGAGCTCTCGCAGGGAGAACAAGTGGGAGAGCGTTAAGCTAAACTCTACCGACCATTGGATACCCGGACATTGCACTTCAAAAAAGCATTGCATACGTTAGGAAAGATGTGTTTAATATAATGACGAACTTAATTATTTGTTGAGAAAATTCAGAGAGCTTCGAAAAACGAAACGGATTTGGTATTTTAAAGTTTTAAAGCAATACATAGACATTTTCACTACTAAACTTTGTATTTGAAGTTCAGATACTTATAGTAACTATTAAAAACTATAAAGAATTTCTTTACTTTCTTCTAATATTTTATTTTTTCTTTCTATAAAATTCACATACCCTTTCCCTCACCTTATACCCTGCATTAAAAAAAAAACAACAGCTATTCGAGAAGCTGGGGTAAATTGGATTTCGGGTCCAAGTCCGGCAGCCGAAATAAAAATTAAGACGTCATCAAAATGCAATTAAAAAAGTAGGTAAAAATGAAAATAGCCGCAGATTTATTTAAGCCCAAACAACACAAAACCCATTAAACGGAATGAACCGGATCCGGCAGGGAGAGTGGTGTCGGTGGTGTCGTTGTCCCAGTGCCAGTGCCCGGCAGATGTTTTGCTCTTGTCTAGGAACAATAACAGCAAATAGATTTATTGTTGATGGCATTATTAAATTTTCTTCCCTTTTTTTCGCCCCACTTCTTTTCGCTGTCATAATAAAAAGAGCAGGGATGAATATATATATATATATGTATATATATTGTATAAGAGCCCAGGGTGCCATGGCATATTGGACACTAAGGTGGCTAACGATGAGCGGCAGTGGCAACAACCATCGTGATGTCAAGCCCCTCGACAACATCGCGCCCCAGGGCAAGCCACTCAACTCTCTGTTCAGAAGCTCAGCTCTAAAAAGTAAAATAAAACAAAAAAGAACAAAAAAAAAAAAGGTGGACAAAATATAATAAAAGAGACGCGGAACATTGAAAGCGGGGCGGAAAGTTTAACTACAAAAAAACCAAAGTTTATACACCCTTGCTTTTATTTTTAAGGCAGACAGGAGCTTGAAATTAATTAAATTTCAATTTACAATTTACAGAGAATTAATAAATCCTATATTTGATATATATATATATAAATATCCCCAATCAAAAAATGTATATATAATACTATAAATGTAGCAACCTAACTTTAATCTTTTAATTTCTCGTTATAAAATCCTTTTATTTTGTAATCTACATATTTCTTTCAAAAATATAAATACCCCTTATAAGAGTGGAAAATTATGAACTTGAAAACTCTGTGTATGCCCGCAGTGTTGAGGAAAAATTGCCCGACCTTGTATATTAACTATGGTACTAGGGCGGAATAGCCTATAATTAATTTGTTCTGCTCTTTTTGGGGCGTGTTTGTTTGTATATTATAAATGTTTGTACTTTCTACTTTGCAATTAGTAGTTAGTTCATCAGCTAATACCTATCAGTTAAACATGTGTTGGTGAAACCAGGTTAATAATTTATAAAATAAACTTAATTTAATTCAGCTAATTTCATATCTTTAAACGCTCTCTTACAGTACTTACTACAGCTTTTCGCAGACCTTAAATACCTAAACAAAATCTCTAAATATATATAAATAAACTTCAAAAGGTGTCTGACAGCTTGGGAGTTCCCAATTGACTGCAGATGCATCACCACTTTCTTTCATCTTTCACATCAAATGCATATATATGTATATGGTATTTATATGTGAAGTATTCCCCATTGAAGTCCGATTTAATTCAAATCAAGGAGTACAAAAATAACAGACTTTGTAAGACGTGAATAAAATCCCCGCTTGTCATTATCAAAGAGCATATAACAGACAAGATAGCAGCCGAAAAGGACAAGAGACAGAAGACAGGCGACAGCAGCGATAATCGCTAAACCCGATAAGGACCCTCACACGCACACTCTTACACTCACTCACTCACACGCCATGAGAAGCCCAAAATCCTGAGCAAATCCCAAGGAGAATCTGTTGCAATCACGTCCAGCCAGTAAACAGGGGAAGGAAATAGGGGCAAGGAGAAATCCATATATGAGAAAAACGTTTACTAAACAGATTTCTCACAGCTCGTATGCTCCCTTATCTGGCATTATTATTGCATTAAAGCCAAAAATAAGAGTATATAAAGCACAATAATGAAAATAATTTAAATGAAAAACAAAAATGCACAAAAAAGATGTTGTACTCATTTGATCAGAGGCGATTTCCATCCTTCGTGTACTCTATATTACCCTAGAGACATAACTGTAATTACAAGAATACACAACTGTTCGCTCAGAGAGTGTGTGTGTGTGTGGCATATCCTTGTATATCCTTGCGTCTGGCTCAGCGGAAATGCCGCGAGCGGTTAACAGAATCAGAGGGAGAAAGGCGCAAAAAAAAGCGAAAAAATCGCGAACAAAAAACAAAATAAATTAAAAAACGAAGCATGAAATAAGGAAATTTATCAGGAGCAAAGCTGAAGCCAAAAGCCAGACGCAGCAGAAATGCACTACACTTGGACTTTGAAGAGTCCTGAATTTAAAATTGAAAGTGAATTACTTTATAACAAAAACTTTTTATTCGCTTAATTCAAATTTGAAAATCTTTGGAAATTCATATATATTATATTAGATTAGAAAATCCTTTAAACTTATAAAAATAACAATAGTTTTCATAAATAAAAACATTTAAATTAGGCTTATTAACTTATTATTCTTCTTGTTTATTAATAAATAAATTTAAATCATTTTCAAGACTTTTATTTGAAGTGCACATAATGCGTGCAGCTTAAGGGAAAAGAAGAAGCTGCCAATTTAATTTCTCAAGCCGTACTCGTTCGCTCGCCCTCTGTGTCTCTGTCTTTCTCTAATCAAAAGGATTTTTATCGCCGTGGCAACGAATCGTATTTTAACCTCACCTTACTCCCCCGTACCGCCCACCGCCTTCAACTTCCCCGCCATCTTTGACAGCTTCAGCTTTTTATGCAGTGCTTGATAAAATGAAGAAAAACCAAAAACAACATCTAAGTAATACTGACGCGGCGGAGAGTGATTGACTACGAAATACCCAGAAAAGAAATTTAAATTGAACTTTAACCGATTTCCAAAAGGGGAGGTGACAAAGATGAAGATGATGATGTTAATGAACAGGAGGATGAACCTTAACAAACTCATGGTGACTGTTATCCGTCAATCTGTCAACGGTTGTCTGACCTGTTACCTGGCACCGTCCCGTCCTCAATTGAGCAATTGTAGGGGTTAAGTACTGAAATCAGTGGATATTAAGTGGGTTCCTGATTTCGCTTGTCAATTTCTTCAAAAATAATAGACTTGCATTTATGTATTGGTTTTAAATTGAAATTAATAAATAAGGATATACCTTAGGATATTATATAAAATTAAATTTCGTATCCTCGAATAATATCTAATAAATATAAAATAGGCATAATACTTATGTGTAATAATTTAAAGTAATATTATTTGCTCTTAAAGGACTCTCCAATTCTTAGAATTTGTCCTTTTGCCCACACAAATCCAAACTACAGTTCTTTCACTCTACATTTGTCTGAAGTTGATCCCATGCCAAGCTGCTTTCCTACGCTTTAGCCTAGATATATACCCCGTTACCTGGCAAATCCTGCAGGGTATACGCCACGTTGACAGCGGCAAAAGCCTCTCTGACAAGGACACGGCAGGTACGCAGCTAGGCAGGCAGGCCAGTGATCCGCCCTGCAACTTGCATGTGGCACGCCAAGAAACGACGAGAAAAAGAGAGCTAGAGGGGAAAAGAGAAACAAAAAGGGAAAGATACAAAAAAAAGAATTTCAAAAATTATAGAAGAGGTGAGGGGGAGGTTGGAAAACCACGACTGGCTGCGATGGAATGGCCAGGCCGGGGCTTGGCACCTCAACTGGCTGAAGACGGCAGACTGAAGTGTGTGTCACAAACATGACAAGCAATGTCGACGTCAAGCTGCCAACTGCTGCCAGCAGCTGCCAGGTTCCATTGCTAGGTACCAGCTCCTCGGCCACCTGCTTCCACCCACATCCGCATCCGTATCCGAATCGGAATCCCTGTCCTTAGCCACTTGCAGCAGCAGCAGGAAAGCTGAGTAAATCATTGGATCAAGCCATGCGTAAGAAGGCGCCTTCCTAAGTTTGTTGCTTATACTATGGCTAAGGAGATATTCATATTTTATGCCAAGGTTTGCCAACATTATAGCTCTTTAAACTGCAAATTAAAAATTTTAAATGCTATATATTTGTAAAGCATTTAAAATTAATTTTTTTTTTATTTTTAATTTAACATTTGATGTCACAGCAGATAATATAAATAGCATGCCAAAAGGCCATTTGTTTTTGAGATGTTTATCTGTTAGAAGTTTTATAGTTTTAATTCAGCATTGTTATCTGTTTTCATAAGTTTATATATTGATCTACAATTATTTTACTATCAAATTAGATAGTAATTACTATTTTCAACAACAAAACATGTAATAAATAGCACGTAAAACTGTAATAAAAACTCTTATTTAAGTGAACAAAGCCCGAGGTTTAAACTCATTCCGAAAGGCAGTTAACCATGGACCGCGCCCCTTGGAAAATTCTGATCCTGCTACAAATTATAGGGCTTACACTAAGCTCACGCGAGTATGTCCTAGACAGTGAGAATATTTTTACTGAATGTCTTAACCCACCTCCGGGATCCAAGCCGTTTAACCACCTGGTAGATATTTCCCGATTCACCACCAAAAAAGATAAGGATGGAATCCACATCTCAGGAAACTTAACAACAACCTGGGATATCGGACCAACTGATCGAATTGAGGTGACCTCGACGATTGAACAATACAAAAATATATCAATAATGTCGTATCATTTCAATCTAAGATTAATGTCGCCATATTAAAGCTGGATCGAGGAAACTGGAAGCCAACCGCTTTGGCAGTGAATGTAAAGGATTTTTGCAAGGAGATGTATGACACGAACACGCTGTATTATCCCTATTCGATTAAATATATCTCCAATAAGCAGGATGTTAAGGATAAATGCTTCAACCACAAGGGAGTAAGAAAACGTGGCCTTATATTATTATTTTTTTATTGTAATGTCGTTTTTTTTTTTTAGACACTCATACTTGTTGATCCGTTTGTGCTGAAAGTTGTCCTAAGTGTCGCCGTTCCTTTAGGTCCGGGACCCCACAGGGTCGTAGTAAAGCTTGTTGCTTACAACACTGATGGTGTACCAAATCCAACTTCTATCTGCATGGAAGTGCCTGGAAAAGTTGTGTAATCCTGATCCACATTCAATTAATATATTTCACACATATGTGTTGATTATTTGAAACTCGCAAGAGATATCTTTCACCACAAAATATTATTTTTCCTGCACTTGTTCTGGTATATGGGTTATCTTTATTATTTATGTTATTCAAAAACAAGATTGTTTTTATTAAAGCTTACTATTATATGATGTATATTTACAGCAGTTAATTGTTGTGCATTTTTAAATCTCAGTAAAACGAAATTTGAAATCATATTGCTCCCTAAGATATTAATTCATAATCATAATTCATAAGGCCCCAGGCAAGGGTATTCAAGGGTGTTAAAGCTCCTGAAATTGCCATTCCTTTGCCCTTGTTTCAGTTGTTTCTCTCCATTTTTTTTACCCCCGGTTAGGACAACTAATTAAATTAGGCAATCCCTTCGACTGCGATGGGGATTTGAGGTGAGGAAAGGAATGGAAAGGGGTGCCGGTGCCGGTGCCGCAGAAAACATAAATAAGCGGGGCGCCAAGTCAATGGCCCCGCCTCCGTCACCGTCTCCGTCATCCCGTCCCGTGTTTTGACTTCCGCTTTCGTGCCGGAAACCATTTTGGCGTGAACTCATCCCCCATCCCCTGCAGCCTCCTCTCTTTTCTCATTTGCAGCGCTTTTCGTTTGAATTTTGCATTAGCCCAACCCCCGCCGATGCCCCTGAAGCGTCGCGCTAAGTGCAGGCTCGTTTCAAATAAATATGCCGCAAAAGCAAACAAACAGTCCGGAGGAGCAGCACGAGCAGGAGCAGGACGAACAGGAGGTGCCTCAGACGCAGCCGTAGCGGCAACGGCAATCGCAGTCGGAATCGGAATCCGAATCAGAGTCGGGAGAGCGGGCGAGCGGAGGAACCGCAGAGCAAACAACGCGTTAGGCAAACCGCAGGCCAAACACACAGCGAACTTGGCACTGCAAAAAAATGTAATTCTATTAAAACATTATTTTTTTTAATAATATGGTATTAGTAACAATTTATAACCTGTATTGGAATGAAAATTTTTCTAGTATAAATCAAAGTTTTTGATATTTCCAATATGATATATTAATATTATTTATATAAGTTTGTCTCTTATAAATATGGTTTTATCCAATTATTTATTTCTAATTTTATAAGCTTATTGAATAGAAAACCCCATTTATTTTCAGTGCACTAATCAGAAATCATGAGTCGCCTTCAGTAAGCCATTCAATGGCTGCCTCTGATGGCCTCGCTTCCGCCTCCGTCCGTTACCACCGCCACATCCTTTATCCAGGACTCGGGACTACTGCTGGCGCTGGTGCTCCTCCTGGTGCTGCTTCTCCTTCTCATTGTCGTCCGCCAACATTTGCAATTCAATTGGTAAGGCGCCACCTTTTCGTCCTGCGCCGGAAATCGCTTACTCTGCCGGCGAGAACGGCAAGAAAGGTTTACCCAATACTACGGACCCATTGGTACCCCTTACGCCTTAGTCCTTAACCCCTTGGTCCTGCATTGCCCTTTCTTTACCCAAGAGGTTACCCACAATGTCGCGCGTTCTCCCTCTCTCTCCTCTCGTGGCAATTGCACAATAAACTGGCAACATTGTGGCCTAGCGCCGAGAACTAATATCGCACATAAATATATATGTATGTATTTATATATTCCAAGTGGTTAGAGGCGGTTCTGGGTCCAAAGGGGGGGATTATGCACTTAGCGGACATCATCAGGCTGTCAATGGTGATGGCCTTCATGCGATAGTGGAGGGAAATGTCCTGGCGATAAGTGCGGTCTCTTGGAATGGGAGAAAACTAAATGATTTTGATATATATAAAAATAGTAAATAGTTCTAAAACACATTTTAAAATTGTTATAAAATACTAGGGACTTTACTCGCTTTTCCATTAAAGAAATATCCTTAGTACCATACAACTTTATTAGTTTGTTCTTCTATTTTTTGAGAATTTTAAATATTTTTAAAGTTTTGTTAACAAATTCAGTTCTGCATATTATTTTCCACATTCATTTGTATTGAATTTTATAAAAATAATTGTATTTTAAAGTCAAAGTGGCTTGCGCCGAAAGCCTCTTAACAATTTTCTCAACAGTCCTTCAGGCCGGGCCTTGCCTGAACAATACTTGTCCGTTGTTTGCATAACTTTCGCTCACGCACTCATCGCTAATGGTCCATCATTAAGGCAATCAGCTGCTGGGCAAAATGCAAGTCAATTAAGTATCAAATGGTTTGGCTCGGACGAGACCGGAGTCGGAGCGGGAGCGCTCTCGGGAGGCCATCAGTGCAAACAATCGCAGTTCGCAGTGCAGAGCCATTCAAGTATCTTTCTGCATAAATCGAGAGCAAATTGAGCCAATTTCTGTATAAATACAAGACACTAACGAGATGAAAGATGAGCACGGATATAAAACAGGGGGAAAGGGTGGAATGGAATGGTTTTGGCGGCGCATTACCAGCAAAAGTGCCATAAAAATGTGTATTAAAATGAGTAAAAACATTTATTTGCATAAAGTCAACCAGTCGAGCCTGGGAGATGATGAAAAGTGGGTTGCGGAAAACTATTTCAAGTGGGTAAAGTTTTAGCCGCGTACGCTTTTAGCCCCCAACTCGCCCAGAGCTCCGCCGAGCGTTGTGAGCCCTCGAGTGTGCACTTGAGTCACGCATAAGTTGCAAGCAAGCAGGTCGAAGGAAGCGCCAACAAATGACAGTGGAGTGCGGATTGCCGGGATCTCAGTTGAGCTGAACCGAGTTGAGTAAATTGCAAGTTAAGCCAAAAGGACACGCACACACCCAAACACAAACACACAGGCACTTGATGCAAACATCCTGGCAGGAGGGAGTGCGTGTCAGGGCTGCAGGACGCACGATTTTTAATCAATGGCCGCCGCAATTGACATTAATACGATATGGAAACAACATGACAACTCAAGGCTTGATTTCTGAGATTTTTAAGGGAAAGAGAACGTAAAGCACATAGCGACATTAAGCCTTTAAAATAAACCTCTATGAATGGTAGTTAAATTTATTTAAATTATAAAGTGTTATATGTTATGCTAGCCTATATATACATCTTATTATTTAACAATATCTTAAGCTCCCTCAATTAAATTCTATGAACACTGCAGCCCTGGCTTAATGTTTGTGAACGAAGTGCATACTTCAAATGTTTCATATCATATATCCAGAGCAAAGTCAGAGAGCCAAGAAGATGCTAGTCAAGCCAAAATGCCAGGGACCTGGGATCTGGGCAAACTATTCATCTGGCAAGCCGAAAATGAAATGGCATTGCGGCAATGCCCGCAAAATGAAAATACACGCAATCAATTCTGTTTACCCCCGGAGCTCCTTCGATACGTGAGTGTGTGTGCGGGGGTTGCAGTTATAAGGGAGAACATTTTCAATAAGCACTTGAAAAAATCAGTAATTAAATACCAGAAATTTGTTATCATCTCTAAGAGATCACTTCAAGTAAGCTATAGTTTACAGCTTTTATTAAAACATTACTTAAACCAAATGTAGATAATATTCTCTTCTCAAGACTTTAATTTGATTTCACCAAGACATTTCTCCAACTGTACTTACACTCCAAGGCAAAGTAGTCGTAGGAGTCGGAGCCAGAGTCGATGAGGTGGCTTTCGAAGGCCAACGGCGATTAACTCAAGTCAAACAGTGAGTGATTGTTTTGCAGGGCCAAGTCTGCTCCTGATTACGCCATTGCATTTGTTATCACAGACACGCAGACCGATGGATGGTGGAGCAAGCAGGCGGGGATTTTCGATGAGGAGGAAGGATGAGAAAAAGACAGCTTCTGGGATGTGGAAGTGGGGATAAAGAATACTTGGCTGCGGTGACGGCACCACCACCACCACCACCACTAGCTACCCACGCAGAAATGCGTCAACATCGTTGAAAGGATTTCCGCGGCATTCGTACGGATAAAAATAAATTCAGAAATTGCTACCGTTACGCTCTAGCATCGACAAGGACAACTTTTCCTCAAGTGTCGAATGCTGAGAGATGGTTAACATCTACCCAGCCCCTCGGCACCGGCTTAATACCAACTCGTCCTTTGGCTTGCTCGGCAATTCGATTTGTGTCGCTTTAACTTTACCCTCTCCATTGAGACTTTGTTTCTTCTATTTTTAGCCAAGGCAGCCAAATTGCTTTTAAATAGCATTTTCCACGGCTAATCTAGTCTATAAAAAGGCTTTAAGCTGGTACTTACAGCTGCCGCGAAAGAAAATGCTCTTTCCACTTACATAATGGCCAACCATCCATCAAGGCATCGTCCTGAAGCAAAACTAAAAACGAATAATTAACATCAATTAGTTGCCGTGCGAAATGTTGTGTCAATCAACCGAAAATCCAGTGCGAGTCTAATGACTTAATTTGCACTGCGACAGAAGCCAAATGGAGGAGATGAAATGGTTTGAAATAGCCAATACCCCGGGAAATCATAGAAGTAGTTTTGTTTATATTTTCTTATATATATTTTCGTCTCACAAGTTATATAAATAATTTTTAAAATTTCACCTTTTTGTAACCAATTCCACTTTTTCGCCTAAAACCTTTCAAAATATCTTTTTTCCAGGGTACCAAAATTACGTAGAACAAATGAAAATTTTGTGGACCATCTATTAGCGCTTGGACCCTTGTAATTATGAGCCATGTTATGTGTATGTGTATCATTCCTGCTTCAGCGAAGAAAGCCAAAGTTTGCCATAGAGCTGAGAGCTACGAACACACCATTTCCCATTTTCTCAACTTCCCAAACTTCCAGCCAACCGAAGATGTCTATGATAAATCGACTGAGGCGATGCTATGCCATAATGAGGGGTCGCTTCTCGCTGTTCGCATTTCCCATTTCGAATTTCGAGTGTACCTTTTACATTAATCATGGCATACTTATGAGCGTCAAGTGTAATTGAAAGCCATTGCAAAACTTGCTCCGGCTCAGCTTCTAGCTGCTCCCCACTAATGGGGCAACATTTTTGTTATGGATTTATGACACTTTTCCCATATTTTTCTTCTCTTTTCCCACCCTCCTTTACCCCCCACAACGCGCTTTTCATTTGTTGCGCTATTGGTTTTGCGGCGAAAGCGAGTGCTCGATTGCTTGGGCGTGAGAGAAGTGACAGATGAAGAAAACATAATTAAGACGGCACAACTGCTCTTCCGGCGAGATTCAAAGGAACTAGATCCCGTATTGGAGGAGCTACATGCGGGCACAGAGGGCTCTGGTTCTGGCTCTGTGGTTATATAATTAATTGTGGTGTAGCGGAGGTAGAAGGTGTGGCGAAGGTAGTGCCTTCAATTGCTTCAATAAACTATAGACTCTATTGTGTGAATTGTATGTTTAACCAAATGAAGCTGGAACACTATCTGGTATTTTAGTAATTTTAATTGGAATTTCCTATTCATTTTTACTAAATAATTGAACATTAATTAGGGAATGCAAGAGCTTGCCCACCTTTAAAGTTTTATGCATTTATTACTTCTTAGTTTCACTGAACTTTCACATTTATAATTATTGTATCTTTAAATATAATATTATTTTCCAGTTTTTAGATCCTCAATGAACTCAAAGCTAACATTTGTGTCCACCTGCAGTCTCTTATCATAGTACCACCTTAACGACAACATGTAATTACCCATTGGAAAGGGAAGCAGCAATAATTCAGGCTTCAGATAGAATCCCTTAAGAATCTGTGGGCCCTGTTTCAAATATAATAATAAAAGTATTTAAAATCTTAAATTAAATTCAAGAAACACCACTCACCACATAAGGACATGTATGATTCATGTTGGTAAATTCGCTAAGGAGACTGGCGACGATTTTATAAAACGGATCATAGTGCTTGCGCCAAAACCGGCAACAGTCCAGTTTGTTATTAATTAGCCACGGCTTATAGCCATTCTCCCTTTTAAACATTGTATAGTGAGCTTGTATGTCATTTACCGGATGTAATAAGGTTCCATTTAAATTCAGGACCACTTTGTTGCGACTCACGGCCCTCAGGCGGCATTGGTTGAATACGAACCAGGACTTATTGTAGCTCTCACAGACAACATTTGTGAGCTTAAAGATGACAGCAATCTAAAAGCTTATGGTAGTAATTAAGGTAATTGTTAATTATTTGTTGTAAATTACGCTCAAATATGATAATAATATCGTGAGGACAGGACAAACTATTAAATAAAGCCTCATTTTATGGGCCTTACAGCTCCAACTCATAGTTGTTGTAGCAAAAAACTGAAATATGAAGCTGAACATGAGCTTTAAAGTGCTTTCATTTAATAATTATATGCTTAATCGATCCATACATTTATTCTAAAAACCCCATTATTTGGTAATATAATTTAAAAAGTATTATTCGATGAATCATTAATGAGAAAAAAGATTTGTCAAGCAATAAATACACGAAGATTGTCAAATATTTTTATTATTCTCTTCACTTTAATAAATATTGAATATTATATATTTTTAATTGAGACTAAAGTTTTATGTGCATGACATTAGAGCAAGTAATCATAGAAGAAATCGGTTGGAATCAAAAGGCCTCACTTAAAATCCCTAAAAAATCCCCTAAAAATAAACTAAAAACTACATTTCTAAATATTTAAATATATTATTAAGTTAAAATGTTCAAGTTACACTAATATCAAACGAAACGCTCTCAAAGAGCAACGAAAGAACAGAATGGTATATCTTTTCTATTCTGTTTTTAATGGTTTAAGCTTAGGCTGTTAAATTGTGAACAATTATTTGTAAATTACTAGAGCTATTAACTGGTTCGTTGAATGGTTTAAATAATAATAATAATTAAACCTAAACCTGACTTTTGAACCCAAAGCATTAGTTTCTAAAAATATAAAGATATTTCGATTATAACAAAACACACCGAATGACTATGTTAAAATGAACTTTATTAAGTCATAGATACCTTTAATTGTAGTTTAGTATTTTCTCTAAATTCTAACAAAAAAAAATAGTCAAGACGAACTTTGAATTAAAATACATATATGGCGGGAGTTTTAAATTCAATATTCAATATAATGTTGTAAGTAATTATTTTTAATTTTTAATATACATAATAATTTTTTATAAATACATATGAGTATCATATAATTTAAGGGTGATTTTCTGCAAAATTCCTAAAATCATGTTTCTAACCTTCGCACACACGTATCTTTTGGCATACCAATTATCCATTAGCTCGAGAAACCCGCCTGGCCTCGCTCAGTTGGCTAAATAAACTCTCATTCGTTAAATTTTGCACACGTCAAAGCCAAATTCTGACTCATTAGGCCTGTGCCTAGTGTCACCGAAACACACTCTAATATTTACCAAACCAAGCCGCACAACGGAAAAGTCAAAAACAGCTATTTGGATGGAAGTGTGCAGGGTCGCGCCGCGTAGAATGATATTTTAGTTTCGCGCCTTTGATCAGCTCTAGTTGGGCAAATTAAAATAAAAACCACAGTGCCATTAAATTTGCTCAGTGGAAAGCTGTAATCGCAGGTGTTTGTATACACGTGTATGTGCGGGTGTGGCAACGGTGGTGGCTTCTGTGGCAAGGACCTTTGATTGATAGAAACAAGTTGCATAATTGCGTGAGCTGCGGAATAAGCGGCCAGACAGACAGGGCCCATGCAACATTCATAGCAGCCTCTTTAAAATTGAAAAAAGGGGATTCACCTGGAACACGAAAGTCCTACTTTGCTATACTTTGCGGCGCTTTAAAAGCCATCACAATGGCTGACGGCTTGGCGGAATGGAAATGAAAACTTTTTCCCCCGAAAATTGTAAAATACGCACACAGTTAATAAAAGTTTATGCCTAGCATTCGTCCATAAACCTGCCCTCTCAACTTTAGAAATAATGAAATTCCCCCCCTATTAAATAACAGAGAAGCCCCATTAAAATGGACGGAAAATGGAAAATATTCTTAATAAGTGAATTTAGCATATACAAAAATGGTTTTTGTTTATTTCTTAATACACCGTTATTATTTAACAATGCCACAAATTATAATACTTATTTTACACCTTTAATAAATAGGCTTAAAAAAACGGAGACAGCTGAGAAAGAAATTTCCCTTTGCATTTTATCTTAATTTTTTCCCATCCCATCTTTGGTTTAAAACTTCCCCTCAATAATATCAGACTGTGACAAATTTTTCATTTACATACAAACATATCAGTATACACATATATTTATTTGCCATTGCCAGCATAATTTGCCAAAGCTTGTGCTACTTTTTTACCCCAGGTTTCCTCGATTTTTCCGGCTTTATTTTTTTCCCCTTGGTCTGCTCTAGTGCTTTTGTTGGGCGCCGTCTCCGTCGGCGTCTGTTTAGCATAAAGGACAAAAGGCAACAACAAAGGGAGCGGCAAACTGTGAACAAGTCTAATATCTTTTTAAATCATAAGTTGGCTTATATATACTCCTAAAGTCAGAGCAGTGCCCCAGACTCAAGGGGGCTGGGGTGGGGAGATGAAACTTCTCCGTTCGTCCGTCCGTTTTTTTGGCGTTTGAATAATTGTTTGACATTTTGAATAATTTAATTCGGCGACTGTTTTTAAGTGTTGCTCGAGTGGAAATGAAATTGAAAACGAGATTTAGTTAAAAACCAGGATGGAGAGCCAGCTCAAAGTAACCCCAGTCCCAGTGCCCCGATCTCATTTCGAACTCCCCCGAAGGGGAGCAAGTTCAAGATTATAGCTCTGGGAATTCCGGGGGCGAGATGATGACTCCGAAGACAGAACCGCCAGAGGCGACGGCGGAGTCAAAGTCGAAAAAGAAGGTGAAGGCGAGGGCGGACACGATGACGCGCTTTTCATTTGTGTGTGCAGCTGGGAAAGCGATGACAGACAGCGCGCTGTGTGGATGTGAAAATGGAAATCGACGGAAAATGGGTGTAGAAAGGCAGGAAGGTGCGTGGGCGTGGCATGACTGGGCCAAACAAAATGCTCGCTAATCGAGCAATTAAACACGTCCCATAATTGGCACTCGAGCACTCACCGAAAGCGCTGCAGGAAACAGGTGCGCAATTGGGGGCAGGACTTAAAGGATGAAAGCATTTGTCAAAAGCTGGAAATTTGAAGTGCGAAACAGCACCGTCATCTAGGCACCACCTTCGCACTTGTAATTAAAACTTGTACTTCGTTCCATGGCGTTGTCACAACAACGGAACGGAGCAGACCAGAACAGAACAGACATTTCGACGTTTGAATACGGTTGCTTTTAGTTAAATATTTGAGAAGCCCTAATGGAAAAATACTATACTAAATCGATAAGCTATTAAAAGCGTATCAGAAAATCACTTATCCTGCTAGGCAATCAATTCAATTGACTTTGGAATATATTTTCGAACTTTTTCCTAAGTAAATCATTACGCAATCTGTCACACAAAACCATTAGCATTAATCTTTGTGTCTAGTAATTAATCGAAATTATTACAAAAGACGTAGTTTGTGGGTATTTTATTTGCTTGATAGAGAAATATATAGGTCATTATCATTTGTCTTTTAGAAAGAGTTGAAATAGTAGAAGAAGAAGTAAAAAAGTAAATGTTTAATGATTAATACAACTAAAATCAGCCTTGTATTAAGGATTAATGATCAAGTTTCTTTCTTAAGACTCATTGAACATTAAAAATATTCTATTTAATAAGAAAAATATTTCAAAATTTGCAACTGGGAATCCAATGAATCCACATCCGAATTACCCTCGTTGCTCCTTGTTCTCATCACCTCACCTGATCCGTGTGTAAGGACATTAGTCTGGGGCCAGGCCAACGCCTTCCCAACTAGCCATCGGGCAATTGCCACCTGCAACTGGATTCCGACAAAAGGAAAACAAAGAAAGGGAAAAACTAAAACAGTTTAAGTGGCACTTTTATGGCATTGGCCCAGCTGAAGGGAACTGTGTTAATTGGGCCCCCTCTCCGAGGGGCGGGCAGAGCCAATCTAGCCGGGGCTTACAGGTTGATATTAATATAAATAAAGCGCTCATGGCTTTGCAGCCAAATGCTCACCAATTAAGCGGCTAAGTCTGAGGCTAAGGTGCTTATTAATTCGTTGCCGTTTTCAGCATTTTAATTTCTTAATTTGGCCAAGAACAAAGCAGAATTGGCCAAGAACAACAACCTGGCTGCGTCTTGTGCCTGGCCAATTGTGTGTGCGAGCCCTAAATGGATGTGTCCTGACCCCCTCACGGCCTCCTGCCGGGTATCCTGCAGCTCCCCTCAATGTTTCTCTGGCTTCGCCATTTTCCAACTGTCGCACATTTGACTAATGCACAACAAAAGTGGAGTGTTACAGGATATGCATAATACATCGGGTACACTTGTAAGTGAGACAATAATAGAAAAGAAAAAGCGCTTCCTAGCACACTTACACACACACACTCACACAGGCAGGACACTGGAAATGGAGCCAGAGACACAGGCAGGCAACTGGAAAAAAAAAGGAAGCAAAGAAGGAAAGCTGCAAAAAGGATGACAATACAAACTGGCGCCACTTGCCTTGCACGCAGCCGCTAGGCCAACAATTTTTTAGAAGGACGACCAGAACGACTACGAGGACTAGGACGACGCTGACAGTATGGTGCACGTCCCCTAGCTCAGATAAAGCTGGCACAAGGCACAGTGCTTCAAACACTGGCAAAAATCTGCCCAAGATTCTCTTAATAAAATAAATAATTCAAAAAAATTATAATTATATATAAATACATTTTAGACCATTTCCTAAAGCTTCTATTATTTTTTCGTAAGATGTTAATGTTATATTATAGTTACACATTTCTTCAAGTGCCCAGAAGGCCATTCAAGTCGAATACAGGACAAAGAACAAAGGCACAAACCTGGCAGCTTTAAGCCCGCCCAGACCTGACCTGACCTGGCTATAGTGGCGTCTCTGGCTCCCAGTCATTCTCATCATCATATCCTTCTGCGCGGCACGCACATCATTCTTTATGCAAAAGGCTCAAGTGGAGATGATGGCCAGAGGGCCAGACGAAGAGAGTGAGAGACGCTGAGAGGAGCCACGTGGATGAGCCCATGGTGACCTATATCCGCAGGATGCAGGATGCACAAATAATAAGAGTACTGCACATTGACCTTAGCCAAACTGCACAGCTAATTAAAGTCCTTTTTTTGGGTCACTAACTAAGGTAATATTTTAGAACATCAAACAAAAGCATTTTTACAGAAGAATTTGAACCTTCTTTAGCCATTAAAACACATAAATCAGAAATGGTCTGATAAGCAAATCCATTAAATTAACAGAGTTTATGTAGATATTAATAAATATATAAATCTTGAGATAGCCAAGCACTTTTATCAATTAATCATCAATGCTAAAATCTCTTTCACTATTAATCATTAGCACTATCTTGATGAATAAAATGTAGCAAGAAGATAATAGAAATTATGAAATAATTGTGCAATAATTCATTGTCGACCCAAATTAAGCTGAGGAAAACCGAACGTCATTGGACAAGCAAACCCACTTAATGAACACAATCAGGTTAATGGCCATCAAATACAGATTTCCAACTAATTTATACATTCGAAACCGCCGCCAGCTCTATGTATATGCCAGTTAGCATTTGCATCTGCTTGAATATATGTATAAATGTATGAATTGGTAAATACGAACTCGACTGACCGTCTCGCGTCGCATCAATTCATATTTCTTCATTATTTTCGAATGCAATTGTTAATGGCTGGGCGGCGGCAATAAAACTCCATCAGCCGAATAGCTATGCGATGGTATTTCGAAATGCATTTTTGTCCTGCTGTTAAAATGCAATAACTGTCGGTTGCCAGAAATATTTCGGAATTTCTTTAATTGTCAGTGAGAGCAAGTTGATGTGTAGATTAGTGTGCACACACACACACCACGTCAATTGGATTTGCGGTGCAACATTTTGTTCTTTGACGTTAACTCGATTAAGGAATTAACAAGAGCTCAATATAGGAATGCCATTCAGTTAGAGTTTATTCTTTTTGTTGGGAAAAACTGAATATACTGCAATTTAATTTGGATAAATAATTAAAATGTTTAAGGATAAATGAGACTAATAAATCAAATACGATTTACTTTTATTTTATTAAAATTGAATCAAGAGATATGATACAGAAACATTACCTGAACATACATTAAAAATTATAATAATTTCCTCGAGTTAAATTACAATAAACTATCTTCCATCAAACCATTGACAAAAGGCATTTCCCAAAATTACTCATCAGCGATAAGAGCTATATACATACATACAATTTGTCGCTAAAGAATACTTCCTTTTCTGGCTCCCCTAAAATTTGCATATAAACGGCTTTCGTCGTAATATCAACTGCTGCCGATCACATTACAGAGTGTATGTGTCTGTGTAAAGTAAAGGGCACGTAATTCGATCGGGGGAATAAAATACAATAAAGCGCAGTCAAAAAGGCGTTCCGTACCCGTCAGTCTCCTCTTCGGCGTACTTTTACCTCAATCACAATCCCCGTTTAGTTGAGAGCCGGCGAGGACGAGGCTTTCGAGGCCTAAAACCCCAAAAGTGGAGCGAAAGCAACGGAAAATCCTAAACCACCTTCTCTCCTCCTGTCAAAAAAAAGAGGAGAAGCAGCAATGCAAAAGGTACGCCAAAGTTATGTGGCTGTCGTTCTTACCCCTTTCGGCACTTTGAGGACCCCCTCTGCATGCTCGTTCACTTGTCAGGCAGGTAGACCCTGCAAAAATGCAAATATTTGTAAAATATATGCGTGTAAAAATTGTTGTGCTCCATTATCCTTTTAACTGGATATGTAGAGAAGACTGCACAAAAACATACAAACAGAAAGGGAGTCGCTGAAGCTACTTACTAATTTTATGGACTAAAAGATACCCGGTAAATAAATTATAATAAATAATTAGAAAAGTTCTAAGATATCAAATTTAATTTTTTAACTTTTAAAGATTAAGAATACAAATAATATGATCAATTAAATCAGATTAATAAAATGGATAGTCCATAGAAAAATATGTTTTTTAGCCCCTTTAAAAGTTATAGCTTCTTTAATAACTCCTTACATTTAAATATAGGAATTTTAATATATCTTTTTATTATTTTTTTATATTTTCTTGTTTTTCTTGTTTTGCTTTACCAAAATAAACTTTTAACATACTCCCCTTGCCAAATAAGTGCGGGGTACAAAAACACACACATGGCAAGCAAATACCAAGAGCCATACAGCAGCAATAGCTAAGCAAGCAGATAACAACTTGAAGGGGTTTCCTCCGCCACCCATTCCAACCCATTCCAACCCAACTCCCACCCACTAAACCCCTTGTGTTATTCGGTTTTTTTGTGCTGTCGATGCGTGTGCAATTTGCTTGTCGAAGAAGGAAAAGCTGAGGGGAAAACGGGACGAGATGACGAGCACACAGGTTTGTTGGCTCCATCTAGTTAAAGTGGCTTGTCAAAGCAAACATCACAACAACGAATAATAATAAAACGAAGACAGCCAAGAAGCCCCATTAAGGACCTACCTACTACCACTAGCTTTAAACCATTTCCAACCAAGTATCGTTTCGATTTTGTTGTGAATTTTAGGAGTCCTTACTGGGTTAGCCACTAGATTACTCCCGCACGCGTAATCAATTGAAGTTATTGCATAATTTCGGCCTTTGATGGAGTACGAAAGTCATTTCGATTTGATTTAATACCACGCCAATTCCCACTAACAGAGATATATGTTTGTATGTCTGTATATCGTCGAAAGACGAAGGGAAGAACAGTCATACGCCTCGTCGCATAATGTGTCACATTTCATTTGTTATGCTCTACCGAATACGATGGCAAATACTACAAATGCACCTTGGTCTGGGAATTAATATAAAGTTTTGATAACCAAGGGAATTTTATTGATCTTTGGGGGATTTTTTACTGTATAAATTAATTTTATTTTATATTTATTCGCAACTAAGTACCCCAAGAAAACACCTAAAGGATAAATCTTGCAATAGTTCTTGTTATTCTAAAATCAAATAAATAGTTTACACTATCCACTGTCAGACTGTGCATATGAATTCAACAGAGCCCAGCGAGATGAGTTTGGGAAACCCCATCCAAACAAACGAAACCGAACCCAACCGAACCGACAGAATTGAACTCATTCGAGCCGGGGCCAAAGCACAACCCACCGTTTGCAAGAGCCGTCTCCTAGTGTCGTTTACAACAAAATGCAGGCGATACAGATGCCAATACACAGATATAAATACATATTTCTCTATATATATAGATATACATATAGGATAGGCAGTGAAAGAGACACCAAAGTCGAGCAGTACATCATCATCATATATCGCATTGTGTATTGTACGAGCTACATGCAGCATAAACATCGCAGCGAGCATATGTAGATGTGTGTATGCTGCTCGCAGGATATATTTGCTCTATTTGAGCAGCATCATACCTATACATATATAGCATGGTGTGTATATCCGTGGAACTCTGTCTCTCTTTGGGTTTCCCCTCGACCATCCATCCGTTTGACAGTAGTCAATCAGATCCATGCGATTGCCAGTCGTCATCGGAGTCGACATCGCGAATGATTTATGAGTCGCTTGCTCCGTCTCCGGTTCTCCTCTGTCTCCTATGGCATTCCTCGTCCTGCTCCGGCTGTTTCACCTTCTCTCTTTGTTGTTGATAAAATTGAACTGTCACACATTTGGCCCCATTCGCATGAGGCAATCCCAGTAATTTCTTTAACTGTCATGACTTGAGATCTAAGCCGAGATCAGCTATATGAATTTCAAGAGCTGACAGTGGAGGAAATTATGAGTGAAGTTGCCAGGAAGTTACTTGAAGGTTTTATAGGGAATATTAAAATATAGATTAATATATTCTAAGGGAATAACTGAAGGCAGCTTCAATATAAAAAGGGATTATTTCCTTAATTCCCAGCTAGTAGCTTGCTGTAATTCCCTTAAAAGAAAATAATTGAAACCCCATATTTTCCAATTAATTTGCACAATCCTTGATGTAATTGGCGGATCAATTTTTCTGACCCCTCTCAGGGGCCTTTTTGGTGACCTCTGGCAAAGGAAACCGCCAACTCATTCCGAACAGAGGAAGCGCGTGCACTCCTCATATTAGCCATTCATTGAGTGCGTTTATAGCGCGCTTTTGTGCGCTTCCTCAACAAACACACTCGCACACACACACGCGCCACTTCCAAATACAAACACAAAGGACACACACATACGCTGGGTAAAAGGAACTTTTGCATTCAAAGGAAAAGGTCCTTTGGCAGATTTTCTGATTGATAGCTATTAATTTATTTGTTGAGTTGCGCCGCTTGCCCAATGTACGGAGCCCAAACAAAATGGTCCCCGAAAGCCCGGGATATTCCGGTGTACAAGATGGGTGGTGGGAGGAGGGTGCCAGGACTTGTCACAAAATAGTCGAATTAATAAAGATTTAGATATTGTGAGCCAGAGAATTCATTGTTGCGCCCCCGCCCGCCCTCGCACGCACACAAGCCCTGAATATGTTTTCCATTGAATTCACTCACAATAGCTTAATGTGAAACAGCAGAGATCTGTTATGGCATATCATAAGGAATAAACATAATTGATGTGGCACATACTGTGCGCCGAATATTTGATACTTCCGGCCAGTAATGCCGTTCGATTGATGGCCTTATTACGAAGAAATTCGAGAGAGATCCTGGAATTGCACACGAATTGTGAGATGAACATGAACATTAACATGAATTTAATGTTTTAACAGCCAGGTTGAAGGGTTGCCGGTTTCAGTATTTAACATATCATTTAACGTTCCCCCTTATTATATTTAATTTGAATACAATTTCCCTTAAATATTTTCCCCTAAAGTGTATCACCCCAAAGGCTAGTTGACCTTCTGCCAGGATTTTGCTGTGGCTTAATTACAAATCTAAGTTAATAACTTTCTCCGAATGCCTCGAACTCTTTGGAGTAAATATTACAGAAAACGACTACATAAATGACTACATTTCCCAGTAAGTAAATATTGCGTAAGCTTGAGGAATTTCAATTAATAATTGAAATCAAAAATAGACTAATCAAATTAATCCTTCTTACACCCACAGACTTCGGTAACTTTTCATCATCATTATCATCACCAGCAGAAGCAGTAGCATGTTTAAATCCTTCGCTGCGACTGGCTTAAAGCGACACCTTTAAAGCCCAACAAGACGGCGAGGGCCATCAGGATGATGAAGGCGAAAGTTGGCTAATTACTGCTTGGCATGTGGCTTATGACATTAAAATCTATGGATACACGCCAGTGGGCTTTAGGGGGCGTGTGCGCGGCCACACAACCCGTTCGATGCTCGAAATGAAAAGTTAAATTATTTCAGGTGAAATTAAAAATCATATTCCGCCCGGCGGCAACGGCGGCGGCCATAATAAAAGTTTTCCGCATAATAGAAAGTTTTATTCTAGAGCACGGAAAATGAAAGGAAATTCATAAATTTCAAAATTGATCAGAGAGAAATCAATTTAAGAGGGGCGTAAATTTTAGCCCAAAAAGGCCACCAGGAAGAACTGTCGTCGTGCCTTACTTATAGGCGTGTTTCCCACGCTATGTGGCTTTCCCTACCTCCTCCCTTTCCCGGGGTGTGTATGTGCAGTCATAGATAATCAAATTTGGCACTAATTCACAGCAGACA